GGAGAGGAGAGGAGAAGAGGAGAACAGAGTTTTGGGGAAGTGACGGGTCACCATGGGTGTTCTTGAACTTGTTGTCGACGAGGATCTCAGGGACGATCCTCCCGCATGCCATCGACAAGTCCCTGGGGTGGGTGAGGGGCGGGGAAGGAGCAAGTCAAACGGCTGACCAGCGGGAGGGGATCACGTTGGGGTATTTCTCCATCGGCTTCCCGTGGAACATTCTGAGACAAACTTCTCAGGCAGAAAGATCTCCTCCTCCTCCTCCTCCTCCTCCTCCTCCTCCCTCCTCCCTCCTCCTCACCTGTAAGAAGATGTCTGGATTCCTCCTCCTCCTCCCCAGGCTAGCAAGTTCTGCTGGCTGTCAGCTGCTGCCGTTACATCAGCTGCTCCCACCTTCTGGCCCTCAGGACGTGGCGCAGGTTTCACCATCTTGGGAGTCTCCATGCGTGCGAGGACGGGGGCAGTCCTATGGGGAACCTGTGCGGGGTGAGGGTGAAGACGAGGAGGAGGAAAGAAGTTCAACCTTGGGGGGAGCATAGGTCACAGGAGCAGAGAGGCTGGACGCGCGGAAATCAACGTTGAGCTTGACTGGTGGGAGAAGAGTAAGAGCGAAGCAGGGAGGATGAGGAGGAACTCGAGAAAGGAAGAGAAGGAAGCAGAGAGGAAGAGGAGGGAGAGGAGGAGCATGATATAGAGGGAGAACAAGGATAAGGAGGATGAAGAGGAGGAGGAAATGGATGGTAGTGGTAGTGGTGGTGGTGGTGGTGGTGGTGGTGGTGGTGGTGATGATGATGATGAGGAGGAGGAGGAGGAGGAGTTCGAGGAGGAAGAGTTCGAGGAGGAATCACCGAGCGGCACTTCCTTAGGGACATACTGCACGAGGTACTCGGAGGAATACGCGTTTCTCGACTGCTCGTAGGCGATGGAGAGGGATCGCATGAGCCTCACAAAGTCGTTGAGCTCTGACCCCGTGTAGTTCTTGATCTCTGAGCTGATCGTCTCCTGTAAAGGTGTTAACATCCTGCACCTGTTCCTCCCGTTCCTCCCCAGCAAGATTCTTCTGCTCTCTCTGTCGATCTTTCCCTTGCCCCTCTTTCCCCCCTTCCTCATCCTGAACCAAGCCTCCCCTTATCTCCTCCTCACCTTCGCCTTGGCATTCATCAGTTCGTTCAACAGCGGCTGCAACACCCTCCCCACGTCCCCCTGCGCTCGCTGCTGCACATCCTTGAGCGACTGCCCGAGGCCGTTGCAAGTCTGCTGGTACATCGTCGACCAGTTTCTCAGCTCTGTACCATCACATCCATCAGCATTAAGATCATCAGACATCACTCTCCTGTACACGATCTGCTGCCCTCTCTTCCCTTCCCTTCTCTTCCCTTCCCTTCCCTTCCTCCCGCTCCCTCCTCGTCCTCGTCCTCATCCTCGTCCTCATCCTCCCCCGGAACGCCCTCCCCCCTGCCCAACATCCACAACCCCTTCCCCTGCTGCCCTGCTTCCTCCTCCTCGTTCTCACCGAGCTCCTTCTCTGCCTCCTCCAACGGTGTCAGAGTCTTCTCCGCTGACGTAGTAGTAGAAACAGAACCCCTGCCCCTCTTGTCAAACCTTGTCCTCCTCCTCCTCCTCTCCTGTTCCCCCCGCTCTTCCTCCACCCCCACTCCTCCTCCTCCGCCACTCCTCCTCCCCCCCACCCCAACTCCTCCTCTGCATGCGCTCTGACCTGCTAAACCCCTCGGGCCCTGTCTTGAAGAACTTGTAGAAACGCTTCTTGTACGGAGGATCAGCCTGGTTTCCCCTCATCAGCGCAGCAAGCTCCTTTCGCAAGCTTCAGCGGGCGTCACCTTGATCGCCCAGTCTTCAATGGCAGCTCTTGCTTCCGTCCGGACGTCGTCGAGTTCCTGCATCGCTAATCATGCGCTCGACTAGGAGAGGAGGAAGCTCACGAGGAAAGGCTTCACTGGCATCTTGAGAACCCCTCAAACCTGCACGCATGCTGGTCAGACCTGTTGGCGAGGACATGGCTCCAGGAGGAAGACATGTTGCTTCGCGAGGAGGAGGAGGAGGAGGAGAAGAAGGAGGAGGAGGAGGAGAAGGAGGAGGAGCAGGAGCAGGAGCAGGAGGAGGAGGAGGAGGAGGAGGAGGAGGAGGAGGAGGAGGAGGAGGAGCGAGGAGGAGGAGGAGGAGGAGGAGGAGGAGAGCAGGAGCAGGAGAGGACAGAAACTATCGCATGATAGACTCTAATGCACTATAAGGCATTCTCAGCCAGGATCCCTGGAGCATCGCATCCCTTCTCCTCTTATCTGCTCCCTCCCCCCTCCCCCTTCACCCTCTTCTCTGCTCCTGTGCTCTCTGCTCCTCGGTCCCTCCTTCTGCTCCTTCCTCGAGGTTGTTTCGCTCCCTCCTCCCTCCCCTTCCTGCCTCCCCTGCTCGCTCCGGTTAGCCGGGCATCGCCTGCCGTTGATCCTTCAACAAATTTCCAACAGAACCTTGCAGGCATATTTTGTTATATTCTTTCACAAAATATATTATCAAGTTTTCAAATAAACAATCAATAATTACAATATAAGTCCACAAAAGACCCTATTGGGGAAAAATAGGGAGGCAAAACGGTTTTCATGGAGGCTCGAGTCCGGGAGGCGGCACAGCGACGGAAGTGAGAAAATGCTGCTGCTGCTCCTCCTCCTCCTCCTCCTCCTCCTTTCCCTCCTCCTTCTCTCCCTCCTCCTCCTCCTCCTCCTCCTTCGCTCCTACTACTGACCCTGACCCTGATCTCCATTGTCCTCCCTCCTCCCCTTCCGCCTCCATTGTCCTCCCTCCTCCCCTTCCCCAGAACTCTTCCCCACTCCAGGCTTGCTCCTCTGTCGAGCTGACCTGGTCACTCCAGAGAGCCATGCGTCCTCGACCTGACGCCTTCCAACGTCCGAGACTACGAGCAAGTGAGTAGGATCGCTGAGGGCTTGGCAGGGGGAGGAGAGGGTGACGTGAGTGGGTCAGGGCCGGCTGTCCCTCCTGCACAGAGATGTAGAAGGGATCCTCGAGAGACATCAAGGTCAGTTGAACTTCCTTCTGTAGGCGGGAGGAAGAGGGAGCTGACTTCACCGTCCTGCAGCGGAGTACTTCGTGTCGAGGCTGGAATGTGCCAGGATTCGCTCGGGGTTCGAGATGAGGGTAAGGAAAGAGGTAGAATTTCTGGGTGTATCCGACCTCCCTCACCGCAGGAGGAGCTGATCAACTACAAGAAGGCGCTCTACCTCCTCTACCAGGTCTCAAGGCTGCCGGGCTGGTGCTCGGGGCGTTGGGCTCACTCCGGTGAAGGAGGGAATGCGAGTTGAGAAGGACCTCCGGCAGCTGACCGCTCTGTGCCACTGCCCCATCGTTGCGAGTGAGTCGCGGCAACAGAAAGTAGACAAGGGCGCGTGACTGCCGTCAGGAGCAGCTGATCGCGATCGGCCGGACGGCGGCCCGGAGCCCCGGCAGCAGCAGGGGTGAGACGGGGCGGAGCCAGAGGAGCTCAGGTCCTGAGTCGGTTCCCCAGCTATGAGAGGCTATCAGAAGCACTGATGCAATGCAAGGGTCTAGTCCTGGCCATGCAGGATGCCCGGACCTTCACCAAGGTTGGGAAGATTCGATGATGCCCATGTCTCTCTTCAGCACTCTCCCATGTTCCAACTCCATCATGGCCGAGTCCTGCTGCTCTTCCCTTCCTTCCTTCCTCCTCCCCCGCCCACCTCCGCTCCTCGCTCTCTTTGCTTCTATCCTCTCAACGCGCTCTGACGCCCTTGCTCCACCTCCTGCAGTCGATATGCAGCGTCCCCCGTCATCCCGACGAAGAGCGCTTCCCTCAGCTCAAGTTCGCCTCCTCCCCGCACCAGCGTCCGGCCTGACCATGGCGGCAGATACCTTCCTGATTCCCTAATGGTCCTGAAGAGGATCCGGCAGTGTGAGAAGTTCCTTACCAAGACCGGGGGGTGCAGGGCCGAAGCTCTTGACATCCCATCGAGCCCCTCGCACGAGATCTCCTGGGGCAGGCGGGGATTCGAGGATAGGCTGCTGAGGACAGAGGGGGAGCAGGTGCTGCCTGCCGACGTCAGGGAGTACCTGTGGAAGAGCTTCGTGGCGAGAGGGGGCTCAAAGCTGATGGTGATCAGAGAGGAGCTGTACAACTATCGCTCTGCCCTGTCCTCCACCCTCCCGCTCTTCGACTCCTGCCTCGATCGCCTTGCGATGTTGGCTGAGCAAGAGCTTGACCTGCGGGAAGACGAGGAGAAGGGTGAGGAGGAGGACGGGAGCTCCCCCGTACGCAACTGCCGCTCCTCCATCAAGGCCAGGAGGCAACTGCAGCTGCTGCGAAGCTGCCGTGAGGGAGTCGAGGACACAGTCGGCTGGTTGTCGACGATTTTGGGGATGTGGAGGAGGGAGAAAGGAGGAGAAGAGGGAGAGCAGGAGAGCGTGGAGGAGGGAGAGGAGGAGAATGCGACGGGCGGAGGAAAAGAGGAGTCCTGCAGGCAATCGCAAGTGCGGAACTTCGTGGCGGGAGAGGGCAGGAACTTCTGCCTCCCAAAGAACTTCTTGTTTCAAGTCAGGCTGAACCATCTCAAGAGGATCGTCTCCTCCTTCAAGCCCCTGGCCCAGCAGGTCATCAGCAGGAGTGGCTGGCCCCCTCCCCACCTCATCGCAGCTGGCAAGTTTCAATGTCGAGCCTGCGGCTTCTCGTTCGGGGACCTCTGGGTCCACCGGGGGGTCTGCGCGCACTGCGAGGAGGAGCAGCGGAACAAGGGGATGTGCCCCTACAGCGACGAGTGCAACTTCTCCTACCGATGCTTCTGCCCGCACTCGAAGAAGTACTCTCCTCTCTCCTCGAGTGACCAACTCCTCTCCCTCCTCCCTCTCCCTCCTCCCTCTCCCTCCTCCCCCTCCCTACTCCCTCTCCCTACTCCCTCTCCCTCCTCCCTCTCCCTACTCCCTATCCTCCTCCCCTCAGCTTCTCGTTCACATTCTCCTCATGCGCTGACTCTTGACGTCATCAGGTGCATCCGGTGCGAGGATTGGTCCTGCGACACCTGCCGCCTCCACCGGCTGGACGGAGCGGGCCTGGTTGACCTTGTGAGGAGACTGCCAGCCACTCGCCTCTTCCTCGACTTCGACCAGACGCTGTGCAGCTCCAAGTCAGGGTTTCCTCCGGTCCCAGGGAAGCATCGGCTGCAGGAGGACGTAGCGGAGCTACTTCGCTGCGCACAGAGAGCGGGAGAGAACGAGCAGGGAGAGGGGGGAGGAGGCTGGGAGAGGAGCCTGCGCGTGAGCATCGTCAGCAGGAACCCCCACAAGAAGGAGATCATGGAGATGCTGCAGCGTCGGGGCATCGGGGACAGAGTTGAGGTCTGCTGCGTGAAGGTAGAGAGGACGACCAAGGTAGGGAAGATCGCTGACGATATGAGGGGGGAGGAGAGAGGAGCTGTTGCTGTGTACGCCGACGATGATGTGCGGGAGCTAATTGATCCGACCTTGACCGCATGCTCGGGCCTGCACAGGGTGATCTTTTCCTTCCGAGAGCTCACCAGCTAGGACACCCTCAACGGGACAGGAAGGAGAGGCAAGTACCAGGAGGAATCGCTGGGGGGGAGGGGGGAGGAGGAGGAGGGGGAGGAGGGAAGGAAAACGAGGGGAGCAAGGAGGGAATGCGATGAGAATGAATTATTCAGTCATGTACGTCTGGAATCATAATCTCCCTCTCTTTATACTTGCAATGCGACAGGTCAGATTATGGCGAATCCCCGGTCCTCACTGCTAGCAAAGTGCGAGTACTTGATCGCAAGCTTGTTGAACTGCTTCCCGCACTGGTAGGGTGTTCGGTCTGACAGCCTAGTGCAGTCACGAGCCCCTTCACGGGGAGGGTAGTCGATGTTGTTCTCCTCCACCAGCAGCGTGATCGGCTTCTTGTGCACTACCTCCGACCAGATCTGCTCGTACCTGCTGAAGAAGAGCTTCTCGTCCGCCTCTGTCCTGGGTCTATGCGCGATGTTTTCACAGTTGTCGTCGAGAATGCTTGAGATGGCGAACAGGTCTGAGCACGTTTCCATGTCGAGGTGCAGCCGGAAAACATCGTACTCCTCCGATATCGGCTCCTCCTCCTCTCCATTGTCCAAGATAACAGGTTGATGCTTGTGGAAAACGAGGGGCTTTGCTCTCACTTTGTACATCTTGACACAGGTTTCTGATCTCTTCCCGCAGCGAGCCTCTCTATTCCTTCGAGGTAGTCTTGACTCCTTGACGTTGATTGGGGATTCTCGTTCTTCGAACTTTTCTCCTCAGCCCCTTTCCTCAATCTAACACCCTCCTTGTCCTTTCTTGTCTCGTTTGCTTCCTGCTTCACCTGTAGTATATCCACAACACTTTCTATCCTCTCTTCTCCTCTCCCGTAGTGCTCTCCTCTCCGCTCTTCTCTCCTTTCCCCTTGTTTCTCTATTCTCACCAAATCCTTTTTAGGGTCCTTTATTGTCAGATCCTACCCCACCCCCTCCCTCCCGTGTTTTAAAATCCCGAGTCGCACAATGACCGGTAGTAGTATATCACTACATGTACCCTACCCCCCTCTTTCAGTCGAACCTCACAAGTACCCCTCGAAGTATTAATAATATCCGAGTTTCTTGTGGGGTGGGGTCATTACGAAACTCAGTGACCCCTTATATTACACTCTGCGCGTTGTCCTGACACCAACCACCCCTCCATAGCATTCCGGTACACTACCCCACCCCACCCAAGCATGAGTCAGTCGGTCATGACTGAAAAAATTCCGTGCCGCCGAGAGAAGCCGGACACCCCGCAACCCACCCTACCCACCCTACCAGCAACGACCGACGAATGAGGGATACGACTACCCCCATGGGGATCAACAAATTAGCTTCAGTTGAGGGGTGAACAGGTTGCGGCCTCCAAGCCGAGGCTCCAACCCCACCCCCCCCCCACGCCCAATCCATAAGCGACTCCTCGGAAGGTCAATGGCCGTAGGACCCACCCTTGCAATGATAGAAACTTCGAATAGAAAGAGACCCCTCCTGGGCGTTTAACGGCTGGATTTCAGTGGATTTGGAATGAAACGGGAGGGGTAGTTGGTCCTGACTGTGACGGCCCAAAGCGATCGAGGTTCGGATGCCACGGAACTTCGGAAAGCCAGGGGGGTGGGGTAGTCAAGGCTAAGTCAAACTCCGAGTCAATGCCCCGGTGGTAGGGGTCATTGCATGGGTGTGCCGAAAGGGATCAGGGGGGTGGGGTACTCATCTATCCGGAAATTACACGATGGCACTGCGCAGGGAAAAGACGGTTAAATGAACGTTACACAAGGAGTGAGTGACCTCTTCAGTGTCAAGGGTCAGAGTCTCCGGAAGTTCAGTGCCGGGCCCGACCCGGGGCCCGGGTCCACTTTGAAGTTTGTGCGGTCCTTGTCAAACTTCCTAACCCACCCCCCTTCTTGTCAACTTTCAGAGGTGAATTAGAAATTTAGGGGGTGAGGGGTCCAGGACTGGTACTGAAGGAAGGTAGCAAACGGGGTCCTCTATTGTTCGGGTCCATGACAAGGGGGGTGGGGTGGCTAAGGATCAGGGAGGGGGTGGGGTGGACTTTAGGTAACATAGCACTGGAAATTCAGATGGGAAGAGCGGAAGAGAGGTCGATGCCGCAGAGAGCAGCAGCGATCCTTGTGCTAGCGCTGCTAGCAGGATCATGCAGATGCTCTCTTGCGCAGCCAGACCTGTGTCCCATCGGCACGTACAGCACAACAGGATCTGCTGTAGCTGGACTGGAGTACTGCGGCTCGACGCCCGGCGAGGGGGCGTGTGCATGTAATCAATCGAGCTACCAAGATAGTTCGAACTTCCCATGCACAGCAGGAGTGGACAACAACATCACTGACCACATCCTGACTGCTGTTGAATCCGAGCGATGGTGGAGGATCGACCTCGGAGGATCCAAGTATGTCTACAACGTGACTCTCTGGCCCAGGTTGGATGAGTTTTACCTGGAGGACTCAAACACATCCATCTACATCGGGTCAGTCTCGTCCGACCCTTTCAGCAATGCTCTCTGTTGGAACTTGGGAGAGTTCAAGAGCGACACGGCATCGCTCAGCATCACTTGCTACTTGCAGGGTCAGTACCTCTTTGCTTACAAGGCTAGCGCCAACGGAACGATGAACTGGGCCGAGATCGCCATCGCTGGCTGCGACGTTTGTCCTGCGGATAAGAACCGAACAGCCTCTGCAGGATCGACGTCGGTCAACGACTGCGGGAAGTTCTTGAGCTGTCCTGCCGGGTACTTCAGCCTGTTCGCTGGTTGCCAAGCTTGCAGTGAGGGCAAGTACAAAGGAGAAGGATATGGAGGGTGCTACAACTGCTCAGAGGCCATCGCCTGCTCCGCCGGGGAGTACTTCTCTCCTTGCGATGGCACGCGCGATGGCGGCTGCATCCATTGCAGCAACCTCACCTTGTCTGACTGCGCTCCTGGCAACTACTTGTCGCCATGTGGAGGAACACAAGACGCGGCTTGCCTGGCATGTAGCAACGAGACCCTACAGTGCCCTGCAGGAGAGTACTTCTCAGCTTGCAACGGGGAGCGGGACAGCGGTTGTATCGCATGCAGCAACGTGACCTTGGAGTGTCCTGCGGGAGAGTACTTCTCAGCATGCAACGCCGTGCGAGACGGGACATGCTTGCCGTGCAACATCACTGTGCTAGACTGCAGCATAGGAGAGTACTTCTCTGCTTGCGACGGCACCCGCGATGGGGCTTGTATCCCTTGCAGCAACAAGTTGGAAGGGGAGAACACCAAGTACACAAGCCCTGGCATCCCTTTTGATGAAAACAACTGTGCTTGGGACTGCGTCAGCGGTTACTTGCTTCGTATGGACGACACATGTCAACCATATTGTGATTTGCACCCTTGAAACACTGTCAGTGACGCACATTGTTTCGAACGAGTGATCAAGTTGCAAGCACACACAAGGAGGTGTGCGGTGGACAATACTGTACAGGCGGACCTCTTTGCACTGGAGAGCATGACGGGAAATGCTGTGTTGTGAAACGTTGTTGACAGGCTTACAGAATGTGAGGTTGTAAACAAAATAAATTCGTTGTGAAGCACTTTCGCTCTAGAGCTAGTGCAGCAAACTATCTCCTCCTCCTCCTCATTTCCTTGCTCCTCCTCCTCACAGTTGTCTTGCCACTTTGACCTAGTCCCCCCCCTCCCCGCCTCCCCCCCGCCTCCTCCTCCTCAGGCCCTGGAATGTGCGACGACGAAAGGTCGCCTTCGCATGTTTCACGACAGCAGCATGGCAGGCAGCAGTGACAAGGTCGGGCAGGGGCGAGTGCAGCATTCAAGGTCGACATTTACAATCCAACGCTCTTCCCTTCTCATCCTTACGGCACAACCCGAGCTCCTGCAAGAACCTCTACCTTGCTCACGAGCCCTTCTCCCACCCTCTGCGCCCAGTGGTCAGAGCAGGACAGAAACATGGAGAACAGATCAAGGATGAAGAGGAGCAGTAACAGCAGACGAAAGGGCAAAGAGGGGGGGAGCGGTAGGAGGAATGAGGACGAGCAGGAGACAGAAAGAGCAGCAGCAGCAGCAGCAGCAGCAGCAGCAGCAGCAGGATGAGTCACTTTTACCTTGAAGCCGCACAGCATTGACAGGTAGTCCGGGATAACTTCCTTGTCCTCTTCCTTCCCCTCCCCAGCATCCCTTGCGCCCTTGATGAGGGAGAGCGGGAAGGTGTTGGAGGCGTGAGCGACGGTGAGTTGCCCCCCCGCCGCCATGGCAGGGGACCAGAGAACGACGATGCAGTCTCCTCTCAGAGTGTCTCCCCAGAAGACTGCAAACCTGAAAGGGACATGAGCTCCTGCGAACAGATTCTGCTACCTCCTTCTCTGCCTCCTCCTCTCCCTCCTCTGCCTCCTCTGCCTCCTCTCCTCCTTACCTCCCATACTTCTCCTTCAGCTCTTGTAACAGGCAAGTGAGAGGGCAGAAGCCGACCAGAAGGTTCTCCTGTACAGTAATGAGACAAAAAACGAGGGAGGAGGGAGGGAGGAGGGAGGGAGGTAGACAGGAGAAAAAAGAGGGGGGGGGGGAGGAGAAGGAGGAGGAAGGGGAAGTGGAAGAGGGAGAGGGAGAGGGGAAGGGAGGGAGAGAGGGGACGGAAGAGGTAAAGGGAGGGGGAGGAGGAGGGGGAGGAACTTGCCTGGTGCTTCTTTCGCATGTTCTTGAAACTCTCAACCCCCAGCTGTGACTTCTCGAGCGACTTGCCGCTCTTGACCCAGAGCACGACGTCGTAGCTGCTGATGTTGCGCCGGTAGGCCTGCTGGAGGACGCCCTCCCTCCCCTCGCAGACCCTCCGGCTGATTTTCTTCAGCGCCTCCCTCGCAAGCGTTATGCTCCTCCTCCACGCCATCTTGCTGAGACACTTGGACACCCATCGCACTCCCCCCTTGTCCTGCCGCGTGCAGACGCAGATCGGAGCTCCTCCTGCCTGGTCCCTCGCTACCTCTGCTGCGTCGACACACTCCTTGTAGAGCTCGTTGGTCATCGGGTTTGAGTCGAACTCGAGGTCGACGACCTGCGGGAGAGGTGAGGAGAGAGGAGGGAGAGAAGGGAGAGCAGGAGAGCAGGAGAGCAGGAGAGCAGGAGAGCAGGAGAGCAGGAGAGCAGGAGAGCAGGGAGGAGCGGTAGAGGATAATTCTGTGGGTGTACCAGAGGAGTTCCTTCCCAATCGAAGGTCGAGATGAGCCAGAGGAAGCGGATGAAGCCAGCGAGGGGAGAGGCCGGAGGAGCGAAGGGGAGCGGCGAGATGAAGCAGGAGGCGACAAGCAACTCCACAACCTCCTCCCTCACTTCAGTGGAGAGGAAGGAGGAAGCAACCCAGCGCTTGCAGAGACGGAGGGTTCCGGGCATGGCTGGGAACTTCTGAGAGACAGCGACGAGGGAGGCCACGTGCTGTGGTCGGTGAAAGAACTCTTCCTCGAGCATGATTGCCTCTGCCTTCTCGCCCATGGCCTGCGGGAAGATATGAGGGAGGAGGAGTGGAGGGGAGAAAGAGTGGAAGAGAAAACAAGACAAGAAGCACACATGAGTAGGAGACAGGAGGACATAGAAAAGGCAAGGGGGAGGTGAAGTAGAGAAGGGAGGAGGAAGAGGGGAGGAGGAGGATGAGAGGAGGAGGAGAGAAAGAGAGGAGGAGGAGAGAAAGAGAGGAGGAGGAGAGAAAGAGAGGAGGAGGAGAAAGAGGAAAAGTACAACTGTACCTTGAGCAGCTTCACTTCTCGGTTGTTCCAAATGTATAGACGAAATGCATACCCGTTGCCAAGAACCTTCAGAAGGGTCAGAGGGACCAGGAAGAGGCGAAGAATAAAAATGGGAAGGAGCAGGAGCAGGAGCAGGAGCAGGAGCAGGAGCAGGAGCAGGAGCTTACCTGCAGGTGGTCAGAGAAGGCCTTGGCAACGAAGGAGCTGCTCTCCATCTCGTTGAGACACCTTGCCATCTGGAGGTAGAAGGCCGAGGTCAGGGTCCTCATGGCCTCCACCTCGTCCGGCCATTTCCCGCTCTCCTGCAGCTGCAGTACACAGTCGATGCTCTCAGCGTTCAGCCGAAGTCGCGCCTCCTCCTGCCGCTTGCGCTTCTTGCTCCCTTCCTCCGGCCCCACCTTGAACGCCAGTGGGTGGACGGAGACGTCGAGGGCTCCGAGGCCTCTGACCCTGGTGGAGAGAGGCTGGAGGGAGAGGACGGGGAGAGGAAGCTTGGAGGGACTGATGGACATCATGGTCTTGGCAAGCTTGTCCATGACGTTGAAGGAGGAGGAGGAGGCTACTTCCTCCTCCCTCCAGCGCCCAAAGCTCCCTTCCCCTTGCTGCTTCAAGATCTCCTCCGAAGAGCCGGCGATGCCAAGGACGCGGGAGGATCGGAGCTCTGGGATGTGTCGCTTCAGCGCGTAGGCGGCGATGGCGGAGGGTATGGCGTTCCTCCCGCCGGCTCGCTCAGCCTCGTCCCACGACAGGGTCTCCTGGATGGATCCGTCCTTGAACCTGCCAAGCACATCAGTGAAAACATTCCCGCAGCATCCTTCTCCTCCATCTTGTTCTCTCTCCTTCCGTACTCACTCACTGGGCCTCCTCCCCCTCCCCCTCTCTCTCCCTGTCTACCTCTCACCTTCGAAGTTCGGACTTGTTACCCCAGAACTTCCGAAACTCTTTCGCAGCATTCGCATCGTCAGCCGAGGGCCCTCGGTCGATCTTTCTCGTGCTGGTCTCCTCATTGAGTAGCATGCCCACAAAGATCCTCCTCCTCCCGCTCGCTGCCCACCCGCTCCTCCCCCCTGCCTCCTCCAACGTCTCGAAGCTGTCCTGCAGGACGCTGTTGCCTCCCCGTTTCCCGGCGATCTTCTCTGAGAGAAACATGTTCGCCTCCTCTGTTCGATCTGGAAGGACTCGAGCAAAGTGCATGCGGTCCCCTAGGGCCTTGTCGAGCACAGAGAGCACTGCCTTCTCCACAGCCTGCGCGTTTGACATCCCCGGCTCTTTGTTGAACCCGATCGCCTCCTTCCACTCTCCTCCACCCAGCCTCTCCCCGCTCGCATCCTCCTCCACCTCCTCCAGCTCTATCACCAGGATCTCGTCGTACTTGCAGAGAAGAGAGACGCGGGTCAGCATCAGCGGGCTGAAGCCATCGCGGAGGTCGTGTTCGAGGCAGAGGAGGGCAGCACGGGCCTCGTGCGTGAGCTCAGAGACGGCGGAGTGAGAGAGGCGGCTCAGCACGTTGACAGCAAGCGACTGGTCCAGCAGGACCGCTGGGTACCTGCCCCTGAACTCCTCCATCGCCTCCTCCACTGAAATCTTGGCCTCCTCGGTCGGGGTCAGGTGAACTCCACTCTCGAGGTTCTCCCGCTTGGAGAGGAAGACGAAGGCGGCTCGAAGCATGTGGTAGCTGCTCATCCCCCGCGAGATGGTTCGGTTCTGAACGAGGTACACCAGCAGCATCGAGAGCATGAACCCGTTGAGCCCGTCCCACGCGCTGTCCAAGCACCGCTGCCGCACCCATACCTTGAGCAGGAGGGCCGCGTCAACCAGCGCCTGGCACCTCGAGAACTCAGCATGCAGCACATGGAGATGAGGAAGGAGCCGCAGCTGCTCTGCCATCAGCGCGTTGTAGTGCGGCGTCGGGGGCTCTAGGGCGATGTCTCCGTCCTGGCTGCGAAAGTTGTTGCGGGTCGGGCGGAAGCGCTGAAGGGGGAAGAAGTCAGCGGGAGGGCAGACGAAGAGCTTGACAAGGAACTTGGCGCTCAGCCCTGCAAGGGCCCGGGGCTTGAGGACGAGGACCAGCTGACCCCTGTGGTAGCCCGACCGTGAAAAGCTCACAGACTCGACCAGGTTGTTCCCCGACGAGCCTAGGGCCTTGGCGATGTGGGAGAGGTACATGTTGCGCTTGTACATGAACCTTCCGTTGAGGAAGTCTTTGGCGTGAAGGCAGTCGGCCGGCATCTCCACCGCCATGTCGACATTCAGGTCGGGCTTGACCAGCGTCCTCAGCAGGAACGACCCGACCAGCTCCACCTGAGTAGGGGGAAGGAACTGGAACTGCTGTCCCTTGACGGTGTAGAGAGCATCAAGACCCTTGTCCTTGATTGTGGACCGCGGGATCTTCTCGAGGAAGCTCTTGAAGGAGTGCAGCCAGTCCTCAAGCGGCCCCAGCTTCGTGTAGTCTACCTCGACCTCCGACTGCAGCTCGTTCATCTCCAGTCGAAGGAGGGAGGATTTGTAGAGGAGCTCTGTCTCTTTCAAACCCTTCATCTCATCGTGCGTTGGATCATCCCATAGCTTATCCCTGGACTTGCTCTCCTCGACCTTGTCGTCCTCCAACTCCTCCCCACCATCCGAAGACGAGTCTTCCTCCCCCGCTTCCTGATCGACAGTCACTCTGTTCTCTTCCTCTTCCATGTCATCGTCGTCAATCAAGGACAACCCTGGATTCTTTGCTGGCTCTACGGCTGTTGCTGATGAAGATCCTCCTCCTCCTCCTCCTCCTCCTCCTTCCGTTTTTCTCTTCTTGCCTGCCATGGTTGGCCGCACGTGAAATTCGCCGAACTACGACCACCCCCTTGAATAACCATTTCGATTTGAGAATATCTGGGGTGGGTACTTATTTTACTCAATTTAATTGTATACGAGATTCAAGTCTGCCTCAGGAATTATATAGGAAAATCAGAACGATCGTTCGTTGTTGTTTTCTAATATCATAACTATTAACTGTGACCTGGGCTTTTCTGCCCTGCACCTCGTCCAAGGAACTATGGCCGCTTTGTTCGTGCTCGCGATGGCGTCGCTTCCCGCCATAAGCGCTCTTCTGCCCTCGGCTCACCCGTCCTCCCTCTCCTCCCCTTCCTCTTCCTCCTCTCTCGCCTTCTCTCCCTCCTTCTCTCCCTGTCTGCTCTCACGTCGCTCCTCCCTACTGGCTCCGCAGCTGTCAACACCCCGCGTTCCGAGCCTTTCCTCCTCGATCGATGGCTGCAAGAGTATCAGCAGCAGGGACCTGTTGGCACCCGAGCGACCATGCGCGCGAGCACGGACGAGCTTGCGTCAGACAAACGGAGACGATGAGGACGTGGAGGTGATTGGACGTGCCATCAATGTAAAACTTGTGTTGCGATAGAGCCACGGGAAGTTTTGATTTGCGTTTTTTCATGGCAGATGTATGTTGCAGCAGCTGTCGTCTCGCTTCTTGGGCTGTTCTTCTACTGGAACACTGGTAACCTAGACAAGATCTTCTGATCTTTTACATTCAAGGATGAGAATTCTCCTCCTCACTTTCCTTGTTCAACTCAGCGATTTTTTGTGTTTGCCTTTTTGTATGTGTCAACAATGCCTGATGCACGGTAACTCAAAGTACAAGAGAGACACGCGGTCCCATTCTCACTACATCTCCTCAGCTGTCTCCTCAGCCTCTCTTTCATGTCGACTGGGCAGTGGGCGGATCCTGCTCGTACGACTTCCTCGTGCACTGTACCTTCCTGACCTGCAACGATGCGTCAACCAGCCTCTGGGCAGCGGGAAGGCACATTACCGCTCCTGTCGTCGGGCTGCGAAGATCCAGCGTGAGGTGGGAGCCCTCAGGGCCAACTGCGGAAGTTTCAGCATGAGGATGAGGGAGCACGGCGGTTGAAGGACCGATCAAGTTCGAGATCTGCACCGGTTCCATGCCAGGATGCAGGGAGATGTCGTTGACTGCAGGCACGAGAACAGGTCACTCTCAATGGGAGGCAAAGGTATCCTGGCACCTTTCAGTATGATGTCGCCCGGGAATATGAGGCCTGTAACGACAATGATTCAGCCACGGGAGCAGCCTGCCGGGTAGGCCAGACCGGATCGTTCGGCGAAGCCATTCTCCTTCAGTCTCCTGACTATCCAGTACCTGTAGGTAGTAAGGATGTGAGGGGAGCTAGCTCCGAATCATTCACCTTCCAGTTGGGTCTCGCTGTACTGTGAAACCCAGTCCAACCGTCTTCCTCGTCCTGTCCTCCTCGCTATCCTTCAAAGCCCCAAACTTGCTGTCCATTGCTGGCTTTGAAGCATCAATGGAGCCCTCCATTCTGCCATCTGTGCCATGTTTCTTGACCACGAGTGGGATGGGCCTTGTTCGAGCTTCTTGCAGCAGCTTGCGAACATGCTGTCATGCTCATTACTCAACCACACACGAACAGATTGAAAACACTGACATCTGCAGAGTGCACCGATACCTCCTCTCCTTGTACCTCCAGGAGCTCGTCTCCGACAGCAATCTAACGGCAACACATTCAGTTATTGCTAGCTGAGGTCGAATTGTGCGCAAAGAAGCATCATAACGTCTCACCAGGTCAACTGGTGCAGCCACAACATCCTGGTTGATGGACTCGACTCGGAGCGGGTGCATGTCGGATATGCCGAGGACGATCTTTTGAGGCTCATCAGCAGCTATTACCTGCAAGCTTTGTCTGACTTTCTGAACATCTTCAATGCTGAGATCATAGTCTATCAGGGTGTAATGCTTGATGATTTGCATGTCTGTCCTGTCTGTTGCGATCAGTGCCTTGATGGATTCGATGACCTCCTTTCCAATTGTTTTTGACTTCTTTCCCTCTGAGCTCGAGAGGCACGAGTCATTCGTTGAGCCTCTTGACTGTTCGTTGTTGCCATGCGTGCCAGTGAACAGCTGGCTGAGGGCTCCGAAGACGTCCCCACCTCCTTTGGAAGTTTGCGGGTTCTGGAAGAGAGTTGCGGTTAGTTGGAGAGCATCGTCCAATATGTTCTTGCTCTGAGAGATTTGGGTACTCAAGGTATCTTCCTTCAACGTTTCCTTCCCTGATTCATTCGGCCTTGTTTCATTGGCTTCTAAAGGAGAATCCTCCGATTCCACGTCGGTACCAATCTCCGAGCCCTCGGTGTCAACAACACTTTGAGCCTGCTCTTTCGAGGACTTGGATGCCGTATCAGTGTGGAGACTGTCGGCTCTGGATGCCCTTGCCCGCATCGCGTCAAGTTCGCTCTCGAGGGTCTCGATCTTCATCTGAAAATCCTGCAGCTGTGCTACAGCTGCCTCGTGCCTTCGCAGTTCACTCCGCAGCAGCTCTTCGTCTACTCGATGGGTGTGGATCTTCTTCTCGAGATCGCTCACCTTTGCTCTCAAGGCATCAACCTCAAGGTGCGCCTTGGCTTCGGATTCATTCGCTGCCTTCAGCCTGTTCTCAAGATCCATCATAGAGCTCTGCATCCCCGATTTCACATTCTCAATCATCTCCTTCGATGCAACCTCCCATTCCGACTGATCGCGTGAAAACTGATTGATCTTTTCCGTGAGCCGTTTGTTGTCCGCCTTGGCAACCAACAGGGCCTCTTTCAGCTCGTCAAAGAATGTCTCGGACTCCGACATGATCGTTGAGAGCTGCCCAGGTATGCTCGCCGCAGTCCGCTTGAACGACAAGTCGGTCTGAAATCCTCGGCTATGCAGGAACTTGGGAATCACTGCGCGCCCTTGTGATTCCTTTACTTCTGTACACGTCTCCTCAGCAACCGTCTCAAGGTGCAAGTCTTGATTTCCCCTCAGCATCTCTTGCTGGCCGTCGAGCACCGCAGGATCCATCGCATCCATACGGTCACTTGGCGATGAGAACAAAGAGAGGGTGTGCCGATTGACCTCCTCCTTGAGCGCTTCCGCGCACTCCTCGTCTTGATCGATCTGTAAATCTGTCAAACTTTGACTCGTGAGCAAGATCTGCGCAAGCTCCTCTGCACTTTGTTTCTGCAGTGAGCAACCCCGCAGGTCTAAGGAGGTGATTGTCTTGTTGACCCTGAGAGCAGCGCAGAGGATTGCAATCCCATCAATCCCTAACTTCTCGTTATAGGCTAGCGAAAGCATTTCCAACTTCGGACTGCAGGCAAACATGGCGATCAGCTTCTTCAAAGAACTGTCCTCCAGATTGCAAGCTTCAAGGCTCAATGACACCAAATTCTGCAGATCCTGCACTACCAGCCCAAGTTCTGCAAGGTCCAGGACATTGTAGAGCACGCAGCCGCTAAGGTGAATCTCTTTCAAGTTAGGGTTCATCTGTATGTTTTGGAGTATAGTGTGCAGCTTCAGTTGTCCTCGCAAGGAGGGAGCGCACTGCGGGCTCGTGGCAATGTCTAGGATCTCAAGATGCCCTTCAGCACGGGCACAGATCGAGTTCAACACGTCATTGTCTAGACAACATTCATCGCCGCATCGTACAACCCTCCAGAGCTTGTTGTCATGTCCTACCCTCTTCCATGTCTTGTTCACCATGCTCATACGTGAGATGAACGCTGATCCAAAGTTGGCGTGGAGGAACTGAAAGAGGACAAGGAGCACCTGTGCGACTTCCTCTTGAGTCAGGTACGAGATGCTCCAAGTTCTGTTTAGCGTTTCAATCCTCTTCTTCGACTTTGCTGGGCTCACGTCGCCTTTCAGCTCATCCTCTTCTATCAAGACCCAATCTGTCATCGAGGCAAGCTTCTGTCCTTTTCGACCTCTACCACTAGGAATGATATCAGGGTCGTTCCAACCGGGCCCCCGGTAGAGATCTGGATCATCATACCCTGAGTTTCTGGCATCGACGTCCTTGGAACCAGTTCTTTTGGGCCCTGACAGCGCCTGAGCTTTTGATCCGAGCACCATCGATGCCACCTGGGTCAGCAGAGATTTCGCTGAGAACCTCCGAGATAGCTGCTCACGCTTTTGTGAGTCTCGCAGTCTGGATTGCGGGAGGTCACTCAGCATCCTCACGAGAGTGACATCAATCATCGAGTCTCCCCTCGACAGCCCCAGTCGCACGGAGGTCCCGGGCTTGCCAAGGATCAGCCCCTTGAAGTCGTCAATCACACGTCCAACAGGCTTCCCTTCAACTGTCCGAAGAATGTCTCCCGCCATGATGCGCCCGTCCTTGAAAGCCGGCCCGTGCGGTAGGACCTGGGTGACGACGATTCCCTCCCCTGGTCGATTTGCAAGAGCAAGACCGACACCCACAAGTCCCTTCGTCGCCATGGGCGAGCTGGTCGAGTTAGTGTTTGCCACCTGCTTACCAACCACCGTCCCCTTCCCCGTTGTCGAGGATCGAGTTTTTCCTCCTGCGCCGATCCTCGGAAGTCTGTAGAAAGCGCAGATGCTATTGCACTTGTGCGCTCCAAGGAAACGCTTGATTCCGTCCATCCCCAAATTTCCTTTTCCGTAGCCCTTCCTATCACAGGTGTGAATTTGTGGATCAGTCCATAGGTCCCCTACACCCTGCAGATCGCACACCAACAGCCTGTTCCCACTCGCCTCCCAGGTGAAGTGGCTGAATGCCTGAGGCGTGTTCCTTTCGTCATCGCTCCAGTCCCAGTTGTTGTTCCACTTCCTGTAGGTTCCAGAGATGAACTTCTCAACACCGCAGAAAGGGCGTCCGGGTCGGTCCACCAGTTCCAGCACGTAGGCCGCTATGAAGTCAACTGACTTGGGGGGGCTCTTCTCGTTGAACCTTTGAGCCCACATCCTCGCCTCCATCTGCATCTGAACGTCCTCAAAGAACTGCTGAGACGACTCACCCGCGTCCTTAGAGAACTTGACGACACACATGCCAGCGACGCCAGGAGTCGCCAAATCCCACATTCGATGCGCAGTACGCATCGCCCCCTCTGCGAACGGCTGCTGTTCGATCCTGCAAAGGAACGCGGTCCTCGTCCACTTTCCTGCTCTGGGATCGAACTCATGCCTAATCGCCTTTTCCACCCCACTCAGGTCAAACGCGTCATGATCGGCATACTGCGGCATGTATCTCTCCCCGACATCGGCCTTGTCGGCCTTCTTTGCAGCAGCGTTGCCTTCAGCCGCCTGCCCGTTCTTCTCATCTCTGTCCTCGTTCCCAACGATTAGGATCGCAAGCAACGGAGTCTTTCGCTCCTCGTACTGCTGCTGGGTGATCTGGCCGTTGTCCAGGAGCTTCTTCAGTTTCCGCAGCTCCTCAGCAGCCTTCTCTTCCTCGGATCGCAGCTTTTGGCCACGCATGGTTGCGAGACAGACCCTTCACCGCATCATGTGGCGATGGACTGAGACGTTAGAGCGCTTCCTTACGGCATCACAACCTCCTCCATGTCAACGAGGTCAGATGACCTAGATTATGCCTCGCCGCGTGCTACCTGCAGGAAACGCACCGTCAACCGACCCGAAGAGGATGGAAGGAGACTCTTGCTCCTGAGGATGCGCTCACGTCGCGTGCCCGTAAGGCGCAACTCCCTTCCTCACTCTCATGCTCATGCACGGCATCGGCTCTCTCCTCTGGGACATTTCTATGGCGCCACTTGGAGCCTTTCCTCCCTCTTCCTCCTCGCAGCCATGCATGATCTTCTGCTAGATCCCTGGAACTTGTCGCCTGCAACAGTATCTCTCCTTCCCTTCTCCTCCTTGCTCCTCTCTCGCTCACTTTGCTCCCTCCCTCCCTCCCTCCATGGACGATCGCTATCCCACAAACCTCGCGCCACCATAGCGCCACTACCCCCACCCCCCTGCCCGAAACTCTCCGACTCATTGTTTACTCAATCGCGTTCTATTTGGACATCTCGATTACATCAAGCTCGCTCCGTTGTAGAAATAGTGGATCTGCAAAGGCATCAAATTCTAATCTAGAAAAACTTAGTACAGATTGATCCAATTTGGAATGTCCCACAAATGACCATCCCCACCCCCGAATAACTTTCTCCTGTGGGATTCTACTAGTGCTAGCTGCTAGTTCCCCTCCCCTTCCCCTTCCCCTTCCCCTCCCCTTCTCCTCCAACTTCCCACTCTCCTGCTCTTGCCTTCTCCTTTCTCGCTTGTTTCTCCCTCTCCTCCCTCCCCTCCCTCCTCTCCCTCCCCTCTTCCTCGTCTCCTTCGTCTCTCTCTCCTCCCTCGTCTCTCCCCACTCCCCCCCCTCCCTCCTCCTCCCCCCTCTCCTCCCTCTCTCATTCTCTTCTTCTCGGCGCCACCATCTGTCTTATGAAGCAGCCGCCATGTCGGGCTCAGCCTTGCTTGCAAAGTTCATCATGCAGTACCTTCCGAGCTGCTCATGCGGCAACGAAGAAGACATCGGAGTGACAAAGGAGAGTCTCCCCACCAAGGAGAATGACTCGACCCGAAGGTCTTGGACCACTCTCCTCGCTCCCTCTTTGCGCTGACCCGGCGTGACTGGCGCAGGGCCGTATCGATCAACGAGTTCTTTACCATGAGTGAGATGCAGTACATGGGCCGGTGGGCAGACGAAGTGCGTGTGATCTTCGACGGGACCCTTCCGCCCTCGTGAGCTTGACGCTCCTCCGATTACCAACACCTCACTCTCTCTCTGCAGCATGCACGGGAAGTCGATGCTCGAGAATGGCGTGCCCATAGCGCTGGTGAACCCGGCAGCACCTGACCCCAAGTGCTTGGCAGCATGCGATACCCGTCTCTTCCTGACCTGCGGCTTGCTGCAGGTATGTGATCATCCACGAGATCATGCACCACCACATGGACAACCTGGGATGCCCGAGCTTGCTGGTGAGTGTCGTTGAAGAGCCGCCGGAATCTTCTTGGCTGCGGGCCGTCAGGTGGGGAGGACGGGAAGGGAACGTCGTCTCTTGCGTGAGAGTGTCTGTAGCTTCAAGGTGTTCACCAACGGGATCCTGGTGCAACTGTGGGAACTAATCCAGCACTCCCGCTTCAACGTCATGTGATGCAAACCCTGTTGGGAGCCTCTGAGGGAAACGACTCTGACCCTTGTTGCTCTCGCTCGCTCGGTTGGCTGCGCATGGAAGGTTGAGGAGGGTGTTCCGGTATTGGAGTCCCTTGTGCACGATGGTGGTTGTGAGATAGAATTCTGGGATCAGGTGCGGGCCGGAGAGTGCGCGCGACCGACAGTACATCCGCTACATGGAACAAGGAAAGTTGCACTCGTACGGGCTGTAAGATCATGAACTCTCATAGCTCCTTTGTAACTTGTAGTCCAGAGAGAAAACAGGCAACACGCAAGCTCGTAATCTGGATGTGACTGCCCCGACGTGTCGTAGAGACGAATGACCACTGCTTGTAGATAGCTGTGCACTTGGCGGTGATATGGATGGAGGGATCGGATGACGTGAAGCAGAGAGTGATCGATTTCATCCTCCGCACATACAAGGATGGGAGCGATATTGTGTGCCTCTGATGATGATCTTGCCCATCTGACAGCGTGACACATGACAGCTTCGGTTGGGGGAGAGCATCGTCTGTTGCATACAACCCGAGGATGTAGACTTCTTTTGCATGGACAAGAATGAGGCGCGCAGAGTCTTTTCAGACATGGTAAAGGAGATGGAGGTCAGGGTGTGTGCGACTGGTCGCCCGAGACCTGATCCTTTGCTAGAAAATTTTGCGAATAATCGACACCAAGATGCACGTGTACGTCGGCGACATCGCGGTAGAGGGCAAGTTGATCAATGATCGTAGCTGGACTTCGACAAAGGCACGGCCGCAGGACTCCTTGCGTTCCTGACGTTCGTCTTCAGGTGATGTTCTCGAGTCAGCCTCTCGACGTCAACATGCTGAATCAAGCAGGAAATGTTTAATTACAGAGGTTGGATTTCGAAGGAGAAACAATATTCAAATGGAATCTAGGAAGGACTCCCGACCGACCACTTCACGACCCGTCGCTCTCCATAGCCTCCTGCCGGACCCGAACAGGAGGCTTGCGACTCCTTATCCAGCTGAGATGGAGCTGAGCTGGGATTGTGCCAAACCCGTTGGGCCCGGCAACAGTCCCAGTCTCTGCCACTTTCTCAACCCAGAAGAGATCAAACCCGTTTCCCTGTGGTCAACTTTCAGTCTCACAAAACCGTGACGCGGCATGGCCTCCAACCTGCAGCAACGCAAAAACCTGCCACAGTTCACCCCAAGTCTTGAGCCTCTTTGAGACGTCATCGAGGTGCAGCTCTAGCAGGATCTGAGCAGAGATCAGCCCAAAATTACGAGTCGCTGCGCAGCATACCTGGTCGACCTGATGGAGGACAGACGTCGGCTCTGACTGGAAAATCTTCATCATCCCATCCCACTCGCATCCTAACAAGCTTCAGATCCGAACATGTCTCCGAGAGGCCCTTACCATTGCAGTCGAACTTGAGGAGGTCCACCTGACAGCCGGAGTGCTCGGTGGTCCGAGCAAACAAGCACAACTCGGGCTCTGTTGACTTGATCAGAGTCTGAAGGCCGTCCACCCTCTTGGAAGTTGCCTGGAGCACTGATAGGTCAGTCTGAAGCAGAGCAAGTAAAGAAGCGCACTTCATAGATCATCGACTGCGCCATCCAGTTTGACCCTCCAACGATCCTCCACCCTGGGCCAACGGCTGCGATGTCGTACCCAGGGTGCAGCTTCGAGTTGTACTTTTCTTTGACGTTGTCTGTCTTCTCTAATTTGAACCTCTTGAGCTTCACAGATGCGCTCTCCTCCCCGCTCCCAAGGCCTTGGTTGTGAAAGTTGACCTGGAGAACGGATCAGCTCCATAGCAAGCGGCACAGGCCGGATCGGTCACCCATCCTTCGAAGTGGGTGGAGTCCTGACTAAAGTCGTTCTGGAAGAACTCGACTTGGTGGTCGAACCCATCAACCTTGCAGCCAAACTTTCTTGCAAGCTCGATCTCAAACGATGGGTCCAGCCCTATCCCCACACTCAGCACCCTACAGTCTACCTGTACCAGTCCCAGTGACGAGAAGCTCTGCGATGAAGTGACGCCGACTTGACTGAGCCTGTTTCCTAACGGCCCATCAAGACATACCATCCACCCCTGATGCCCTTCCGCCCCTATTCTCATCGGCCGAAGACAATCGTACATGACCTCCCCGTTCAGCATTCGCTGCAGCAAGACCTCTTCGACGGACTTGTGCGTACCCATGGACACTGAGATGCTCCCTGCGTTCGACGCGATGAGAATCGCGAGTACGACGTTTGACAGGAGAAGGACAGCTGCTGCTGTCTTGAACGAGATCTGCAGCTTGTGATTCATCAATGTCTGCATCCTCCTACGAAACGACAGGCAAAACGTCAGACTTGCATAGCAAGGGCAGCAGCAAGCAAGCTGGTGGAGAACGCGAGTGAGGACATCTGCATGTGGTCAACTCACTTGGGCAGGTCTGTTTCAGCCTCCTCCATCTCCCTCCTCCTCCTCAGCCATCGCGTCGAGTCACGCACCATCCCCTTCGATCCTGCTTGTCCCACCATCCTGACTGTCGGGGACCCCACAGACCCTCACTGACACGGGAATTCTTGAAGCCCGGGCGCCCCGGGCCGGCCGCGGGCCCGGACTGGGCAGCACCGGCAGCGGCTCCGCCGCCGCTGCGCAGTCAGGCGGCCAGGTTCTGTGAACTAGACTGCGGCTCTGAGTCAGCCGCCGGGCGAGGTCGGATGGCGGCCGGACTGCCGCCAGGCTGCGGCCGTGAGACCGTGGCTGCCGAGAATGTAGTTTACTGAAACTTTATTCTCTCCAGGTTGGACCTTGAAAGAAGGCATGCAATCAAATTGTCCTTCTGCAACGACTGCCCCCGCGAATACTGGAAAATTCTCAAGCCATCGAAACCTGCAAGATCAGTAGGCCGTTGGCAAACGGTGACGGTGCACAGTAGTAACACGCGTGTGCTGATGTTAGAGGACTACACCATGCTTCTTCGCGGCTTCCTCGATGATGCTCTTGTGAGAGGCGTACAGCTTCAGATCCGGGACGATGTCCATCCAGCATACCGCCCCTGCGTCATCTCCCGCTTCCAGCTTAATCTCCGCTGCTATCGAGTCGTCCACGTGAAAGTTCATGGCGACCGTCTCCATCCATGCGTTGTCAGTGTTCCTGGGATCGTCGACGTAGCCCTTGAAGATCTCGATGCCATGGGCAAACATCTCATCGATCTTAGCCATGATCTTGTCTGCCTCCTCCTTCGACTTGCTGTTCAGGTCCATGGCTTCCTCCCCGAACTCTCTCTTCAGGGTCAGAGACACCGTCTCTCCGGCCTCTACCATGCCTCCTGGGATCGCCCATCCTCCTCCGTCCTTCCTCTTGATGGCGATGAACTGCAGTTTGCCCTCGAGGAATCTCGTGACGATTGGATCCGCGGCATGATTCGGGCCCCACCTGCCTAGGAGCCCCCGGCCTGTCATCCCAGTCCGCCCGACGGGATTCAACGGTCTCCCAGTCTCTTTGTCGATCTTGTACTCGCCCGTGAAAGACTGCCTGTCAATCTTGCCGTCGATCTTGTTGAAGGAGATAGTGGACGCGTCCTGGCTGTCAGCCCATACGGGTCCAGCAAGAACCGATGTGGCAGTGTACTCCACGGGCTGGTAGTCACTCCAAGGCTTGTCGAACTTGACATGCTCGTCGGGCACGTGGGCTCTCTTCACTTCTGAGCCGGGATAAGAGAGCTTCTCCACGGCATCATCCAGACCCCTGGCCTTGTAGTGTAGCATGCGGCAGATGGAGGCTGTCCTGGAACCTGAAAAAGGCAAATGAGATGTGAATGCGAAGGTGCAAGTTCTGCTTCTTGACACTATCTTATCCTTGATCCCCCATCCGAACGCAACGTTGCCGATCGAGAGGGAGCCCACCACCAAACTCCTCCAAACCACTTGCTTCGTCACAGCAGCAGCGCGGCAAACACAGGGAGGCATGACGTGGAAGGGTCGAGCAAGCAGGGGAGAGCTAGCAGGGAGCTGTTTCCATCAGAGGCATGTGCTCTCAGCCTTGTCTGCTGCTCTCTCCCTTCCTCCTCGGCAAAGTTGCGATGATGCCATGACAGGTCACTGGTACCCGCAACTTCGGCGAAATTACTCATCAAGGAAGTTACAGTAGATAAATCCGTTACACAACCGTTGAGTTAGAAGTTAACACTGTCGTTATGAATCCGTTACCATTGGCATCATGCACAGTTTGTGTGGAGCGGTGAAGAGCCGCGATAGCGCTGGACGCGCATGTTGAGTCGAACGTCTCCTCCTCTCTCATAGTTTCATCCTCCATCTACATCATGCTTCCTCGCTCTTCAGCGCGTTCCCTGAGCGTCTACCTGGCTGTCTTTGTCCTCTCCTGCTCCCATGTCCTTACCGCGAACGATGACGATGCGGATGGAGGCGGAAAGGTCAAGCTCAAGTTCTCGTATCCTCGAAGGGTACCGAGAGTTTCTATGTCAACAATCAACAGCATGAACAAGCTCATGCCGCCCAAGCCAGCGAGTTGGCCGACCGCGTTCAGCATCAAGTTCAGAACAAACATTACCCAGGGCTCAACCAAACAGCAGAGGGAGGGACTTTTGTGGTATGATGCGAGCCAAGGTCAAAGGATTTTTCACCAGAGAGGAAGTTCTGAGTGTGTACAATATTACAAGACGAAGGAAAACTGCTCGCTGGTATTCAACTCAGAAGGAATGTACGCTCTGGTGTCAAGCTCCTCCTCCTCGTCGTCGTCGTGCTGCCTGGACCTACCCAACTTCCATGCGCCGAGGCCCAACTGGACACAAACGAAGCACACCTTTATCGAGACTAAGAAGATCAATGGCAGGATGTGCCATGGATTTCGCTATGCCGAAACTTCGTTTTCGCGCAGCCATGCTGCTAAAGGACATGTGTACTGGCAGGATGTCAAGACGGGGCTGCCTTGCGCATTCATGTTTGACGATTCAGACTTTGATTGGTACTTTGACGTTACCTCGGTCTTGTACGGACCGCAGGACGCAAAGCTCTTTGCTGTGTCTGCAGAGTGCATCTCTCAAAAATGTTCCACAGACGCGTCCCGGTCCTCTGTCGCCTAGTGGGAGGCTGCGAAGGAGAACTTGGGCTTTCATTCAGAAGTTCAAATCATTGGAAAAAATAAATTCTTGTTGAGTCTCAGCACAGCAACTTGATCGGACCGCAACATGAAAAAACTTTCTGTTTGTCGAAAACTCTTCTTGAAATTATGGAATGTTGCTGGCCGCTACTTTGAAAAGAAATTGAAAGGCCAGAGGAGCGAGCCTCCCCTCCTAGTATCACCTTCCGCCGCCTTCCCCTGTCCTCCTCCGCTGCCCAAGATCGGAGATAGCCCGATGCTCGTCGAGATCTCGTCCAACGTCCGCACTACCTGATCTGCCGTCGGCCTGCGCCTCCTGACAGGGACAGGTCAACCACTCAGCTCACACCTACAGCCAGTTGTACCTGTCCGCATTCCAGCACTTCTCAATGAGCTGTCTCAGTTTCCGTGGGACGCTCTCGAACGGTTCGACGTCCAGAGGAGGCCTCCTCCCGTCCTGCGCAAGGAGGTCAGGGACCAGGAATCGCACTTGGTGTACATGCTCCACCTGCCAAAAGATCGGCAACATGCCGTCCAGATTTGGCACATCGTGGAATGGGATGTCACCAACGATGAGCTCCCACATCAGCAGCCCGAGACTGGGTCATGACGTCAGCACAGCTGGGACGGGAGCTTCAGCGTTCTACACCTGAACACATCGCTGGCTGGCGTGCATTTCCCTTGCAAGAGGGTCTCGGGGGCGATGTAGGGGTACGTCCCAGCCTTGCCTACCTTGGTGGTGGCATGCCCCACGGTCTGCAGACTAGGATCCGTCCGGAGAGCAGCTAGGCCCACGTCGCAGAGCTTGCAGACGATGGTCGAAGGCTTCCCGGATGTGAGCTTCTCGGACAGGAGGACGTTCTCTGGCTTCAGATCCCTGTGGACGATGCTGACGAACTTGTTGGTCCCAAAGACGTCATGCTCAGGAGCATGCAGGCCGCGTAATGCCATGGCGACTTGTCGCATGATCGTGAAAGCGAGAGGGAGAGGGAGCCTCTGACCTGGCGGTTACGTCAGCTCAGGGATCATGGATCAGCAAGGGGCGATCAATGACGTGCCTTTGCGCTTCATCACCAGCAGGTTGTCGCGGAGGCTTCCTCCTTTCATCAGCTCCATGCATATTTGCACGACGATCTTCGCATCAGCTTGATCATGTTGCAAAGAGAAGCCGTAGAAGTCAACGACGCCACACTCTGGCCTCTTGGAGAGGTAGTCCAACACCTTGAGCTCGTGTAGCCAATTCTTGAAGAAGTTGGTCTGCCTTTCCCCCATCCCGGCGATGAAAGAGAAAACCTTGCATGCACAAGGACCGTTCTGCTGAGACCTAGATGACGAGCAGGAAGGCCGGGGAGCGTCTGCTTCATAGACTATCGCGAACCCCCCGGCTCCTAGTTGCCGCTTCTTCTTGATAGCAGCGTGCTCGATGGTGGGATTCGGCAGAGTGCCAATTCGATTGTTGAGCCTGAAATCGCAAGTATGAGGGAGACAGGAACGAGGGGGGAAGGCCATACCCGGCTGTCAGTGCATCAAACTCGTTCTGGTCGTCATAGTCCTCGCTTGCCCACAGCGGCTCTCCGTCCTGAGGGCACTCCTGCGCCAGCAGCGACATCTGGGAAGGGGTCAGGGCTCCTTTTACAGCCTCCATGGCAGGTACCTTTGTGTTGCGATGCCTTTCCCGCCAGAGCATCCGAGGGGAGAGGAGACACGCAACAAGGCAGGCCAGCACGCCATCGAAGCAGCCATTGCCGGTGTCCCGCCGTGCTCCCCCCCTCAGGCCCAGGCGCAGGGGGGCCGTCGTGCGTGAAGGACAGCAGGTTGCGCCATGAGAGGACGGAGAGAGATCCTTGACATGAGGATGACGGACATGGTCATGCAAGTGAATGCCGCAGACAGAAACAGCAAAGGATACGCAGAGGAAGGCAACGAGCCTGACCTCTCCCTTGCGCCTGATGTCGTGCCTAGCGCCGTACAAGCCGCATCTCGTCATAGAGGGGCTCGTCATGCTCCCTGTGGCCCGTCTACCCCCTCAATCGCATCCTCACGCTTCTGCCGATGAGATCTGCATGGAAGGAAGTGCCGCTCAACCGCTCGTCCCTCGCCCCCTGTGCATTCTCGCCACCCTCTCCATCTGAGAGCTATGCTGCATTGTGGGATATCATATTTTTACTCAACTGTGGACTAGGAAAAGATGGCAGAGGGAAAGGACTGCCATTCATCGATGGATGGCAGAGGAGGAAGGAAGGGAAGGAGGAGAGGGATACAGGGCAAGAGAGGAAGCTGAAGGGAGCACAGGGAGGAGGGCTTGTTGAAGGGAGCACAGGGAGGAGGCTTGTTGAAGGGAGCACAGGGTCCTTGCGAGAGAGAGAGAGGAAGGGGGAACGAAGGCAGAGGAAGGTCGAGGTGTGAGTATGTTGAACCATCCCCTTCAAGAGAACCTCATCCCAGCGGCGACTCTCAGGAATCTCAGCGATCGGGTATATGAGAAGAGGAAGGCGGCAGCTCTCGAGATCGAGAATCTCGTCAAGGAGCGCATGGAGAGTCCGTTGGGGGGGCGGCAAGACATTGAGAGGATCCTCACCGTCCTCGGCAACGACTATGCGCTGTCCAGCCAGGCAAACCTCCGCAAGGGAGGTCTGATCGGGATGGCAGCAGCGGCGCTCGGGCTGGGAGCAGATGCATGGAGGTAGTCTGAGCATGGCATGTTGTCTTCGGCAGCTCATGAGAGTGTAGGTGGTTGACCTTGTTGCTACCCCCCATCCTCAACTGCTTCATGGATCAAGACAGCCGTGTCAGATATTACGCCTGCGAGGCCTTGTACAACGTGGCCAAAGTGACCAAGACGAGGATCTTGAATCATTTCAATCAAGTCTTCCGAGGGCTGTGCCAGCTGTGTGCAGACGCTGATCAAGTAATGGACGTGGTGCCATGGTGGGTTGCCTGACAAGTCCGCAGGGGGTGAAGAACGGGTCGCAGCTTCTTGACCAACTCCTCAAGGTCTACTTGCTCGCACATCATGCGGCGCTCACCCGTGCCGTAGGACATCATCGCAGAAAGCACCTCCTGGAACATCTCGGAATTCATCCCGGTCGAGCAAGTTATGTGTTGTGAATGTGACGAGTTGACATGCAAGTCACCAGGTCTTGAAAGAGCACCTGGAGCACACGGGCAGCTACGTGCGGCACTTCCTCCTCGGTTGGATCGCAACGCTGCAGTCCATCCCTCATTTCGAGATCCATAAGGTTCAGTGTTTCCTTGCGGGGTCTGGTGCGGGTGACGGGCCTGGCTTGCAGTACCTCTCTGAGATTCTCTATGGTGTAATCATTATGTTGGATGATGACAACAAAGAGATCAGACAGCAGGCCGATAGGTGACGTCGGCAAGACATTCTTTGTTGATTCCTGTCTAAAGCCTTGGTTCTAGTGTATTGTCGCACTTGCTGCGAACTTTGCAGTCTTCAGAAGGTGATGCTTAGAGGTTTGCGGTGTTTAAACTCAGATTTGTGGATTGTTCAGATATCAATTACAATCATATCATGCCTGTTCTTGTAAGATGCGCCACGTTGTCTCCACCGAAAGAATACGGAATGAAGGCGGTAAGTTTGGATTGAACGTCTTGCTCTGCTCCTCCAAAGGGTCAAATTGAAGCATTGGTGATTATGCCGAATGTCATCAGAACGAGTCAAGTGCGTCGTTGGATCAATACTCAAAGAATGAAGGTGAAATCTTGCTAATGAAGTCTATACCCCCGACTGTCTGGCAGACCTGGTCAACCGAGTCGCTTTGATGTGGATCGTGCAGCTCATGGAGAAAGGAAAGAAGAGGGTAGAAGACCAACATCCGTGTCCTGCGCAATATTAACGATGATGCTAGATTCTTCCCTTTACCGGCGAGCTTGTTCGGATGCTGCTGATGGTGACCGGTTCGGATGGTTGGTATGATTCTCACTGGTGTGAAGGCGGAGGAGAGCAGCGACAAGGTCAGGGAGTTGTCGAGCGAGATCGACGACGCTCTCCGGCAGCTGCTGGAGGAGGAACAGAGAAGAATTGAGAGCCCCAAAGGTGAGGAAGAAGGATTGTCATCTAGGCTGATACGCTGAGATGCATCAGCAACCTCTGGACCGACTGTTGAGGTCGGGGGAGGATTTGACATCGTGGAAGTTGCGAGTGCTGTGATAGCATATCTGAAAGCTCCGCTGGTAGCTAGCAAGGCCTCTTGCTGGTGTAAGATGATGACGCGTCCAGGTGGGCAGCAGGCTGAAGGCCCTGTCGTGGTTCGATCTGCTCGTCGACATGATGGAGACTTGCCGGGCTGACCTCAGGACCAACCTGCTCGCTGCTCTGATTCACGCGCTGCACGATGAAGAGTCCGAGGTCAGAGAGGGCCCGCATGTGATCCGCCCTTGTGACGGGGAAGCAGGTGGTTTCCAAGTCCCTGAGGATCCTGCGGAAGCTGTCCAACAAGGGATGGGGAGATGTGCTGCCCATGATTGTCAACGCCATGATCCAGTTCTTTCAGTCAGATCCCGCCATTCTTCAGGTGAGATGCCCTGAGTGCTCTACATGAGGGGTGAAGACGCACCTCTTCCGCACAGGAGAGGAGCGGAAAGATACTGAGAGAGCTTTCCGTCATCTTGGACTCTGAAAGCGTGTACCTGGAGTTCGCCAAGGCGCTGGACGGGAAGGAGGACGACCTGGGCTCGAGGATCATCGTTGAGAAATTGACCATCATCCTGCTATCAGTGAGTGCACGTCGAGCTCCCCTGACTTGAGACTTCTGACACGTCCTCAAGGTACCCGAGCTCTCTCCCTTCAGGAACAAACTCATCGGTTCGAAGCCCAAACTGCTCTCGCAACAGAATCTCAGCATCGAGAACGAGCAAGGTCGGGCCCTGGCGTCCCGCGCTGAAGGAGAGTTGGATCTCTTTGCTTCCCTCCTTCCAACCTGGATGCACGTACCGGCATGCGCTCTTGCTCTCAGCCTGCTGGCTGGCAAGTACGAGCAGTCGTACGAGCTGGTTGTGGAGATGGGGGATAGGATGCGAGACCTTCCTGGGGAAGAGACCATCTCCATCCTCATCCAGTTGGATCAGCTTGTGCAGCTCATAGAATCCCCGGTGTTTGCTCCCATGAGGATGCAGCTGCTCGAACCGGCCGAGGTGGGTCGACCCTTCCATCATCTCTCGCCATGCTGTACTCACTTCCTCCCAGCACCCGTACCTGATCAAGACCATGTTCGGGATCCTGATGCTCCTGCCTCAGAGCGAGGTGAGCCGTCTGACCGCGGCTGATGCTGTGCTGAAGGGTTTGCTCTATCCAGGCCTTCGACATCCTACGAAAGCGTCTCAAGAGTGTGCCAGCCCTGGCGATGCTGGCGTTGTACAGACCGAAGTGAAGAAGATAACCAGATGCAATCCTCCTGCTTCATCATCGAGCTTGCAATCGTCTTTCCCTCCCTCCCTCCCTCCCTCCCTCCCTCCCTCCCTCCC